ATATAGTGACACACTCATTTGCACAGGCTTTTTCAACACCGTGCTGCATCCAGCCAGCCTTCCTGCAAGAAAAAGCTGTACCTGGTCCATATAAGCTGCCTAAGTGGTCTGTATAAAGAGCCAGGTGAGAGCAGCTTAATATGCCTGGATAAACTTGCCAGCCACAAATCCAAACCTCAAATTCCACTTCACAGTGGATGAACTGATAAAAGCTGCATGTGCGTCCACACAGCATCTGCATCACTGGCATTTATTTATGTTTTTAGCATTCTGTGTTGATGGATGCTTTTCAGATTATCTTCAATGTCCTGCACAGCTGGATTGAGTCTGTACCAACCCCTATCCAACTAGGGCCATAACTTGCGGAGCATCTTTCCGCAAATAGCAGACCCGCTTTTCAAAACCTCTTTTTGCACGAGTCACGATTGGGATGCTTTTGTTAGCGTACATGCCTGTACACACAAATGAACAGATTTTGGGTTTTTGCACAGCATATAGACATGCATGATTGTAATGGGGCAGGTGAGCAAGTATTCTCGGTGGCAGATCTTCCTATACACCTTACCCCAGATGAAAAATGAAACAACAATGAAAAAAGACGTAATGCTAAAAGGTTGGTCGATAATAAGGTATCACCTCTACTACATCCAGTTCATCAGTGAGTGGTCAACATAGCCAGAACATCCATGATCAGGGGTCTTCAGGCCACTGGCGCAGGAGCTGGACTATAAATTTCTCTGAATACTTTGGGGTTTTTCTCGTTTGTGCTTGCCTGTATCTGTTAAGGTTGTTGTGCTGGATGGTGTGTCAGTCTTTTGCTCAAGAAAGTTACACAACAATCAATTGTGGCTCACAAGAATGTACGTACACATGACATACCAGTAGAAATACAGCCAATTGGCCAACACGTTCTTATCCCAAGTCGTCAAGTAGCGCCGCTTTGTCAGTGGCCTTTCATGTCTACATATTACGTGCTAGGTATCCTTCTGCATCTGCTGTTGATGTTCCAGGATGCCATCACCAATGCTGGGATGACAACAAAAGCACATGGTTAGATTTATGCTACAAAAGCCGATACATTCTCACCCCAACCTCGTCATATATCAACGTTTTGGTCATAGACTTTCCACATCCACATATGTTGTGTAAGGTATCCTGGGTGCGTTGTTTGTTGATGTTGTGGGACGCTGTGTCAAGTTCTCTTTTTTTCAAGATACACTTTCGTGCTCACAGGAAATTTAACGTTTACATAGAGACTCTTGAAATAAACGGTACAGTTGTACAACACCACAAATTGACATTTCTTGCCTTCAATAACAAACACACATGGTTAGGTCTAGGAAAAAAGACAAGGGTTTGGCTTGATAATCTTACAAGACGCGAACACTGCTCTCTTGGGTGAAAGTCAGAGTTTGTTGGACCCATCCACCATCCATCCCGCCTGCCACATTTGGACTTTCGCCGCCTTAACTTTTATCCCCTTTTCATCACCGTTGTCCCGTTAAACTATAACAGCAACCGGCCACATTTCAGGCCAACGTTAAAGCACGCCTTTTTTCGTTGGTTTGAGACGCCATGAGTCACTTCCCAAGCATTGGATTTTGACGATTTCGGAGTGAGACCATGCTCCAAAAGCATGTGGTTTGGTAGTAGCATATCATACTGCTGTGACAGGTGATGTCTGGTCGTGTCAAGAAAAAGTGGCGGTATTCGATGACTTTGGAATGAGAACAAGCTGAATTGGCCAATAAATGAAAAAAAGGTGCAGCACGGTGAGTCAGCATTAGCTAGCTCACATGATTACACCATAGTTAGCTTATGATTAATGCTGTGTGCTGTAAACTAAATAGGTTTAATGAAAAGGCCAACTTATCTTCACTAATAATATGTTAGATTCATGTTAATGTGTATTTTCAGACACATTTTACTAAAAAAACAAACTAAATAAAACATACAAATAAATAATATAAATAATAAACAATCAAAAGGTCATACAGCGACCTCTGAGGACCCCTGAGGAGTGGCGGACCCCGTGTTGAAACCCAGGTGCTAGAGCTTTTATGGGTATGGTGGAGTGGAATTTCTTTGGAAAGGTAAGCTATGTTAATCGAGTTGTTTATTTGTGTTGATTTCTCAATAGCTTTTGTTCTTGCTCGTTAGTGAAAGCTTGCCTAGGTTGCAGATTGTGCTAGATCTGGCACTGGGTACGCTGCTGATAAGATCCATCTGATGGAAGAGGAAGAAGAGGTGCAAAAAATCACTCATCTGTCACTCACGGAAAAAAAAATTGTCTTCTTATCAAGCTGAAATACCTACCAGTCTGTACATGCGGTAAGTAGTAATATAAATGACTAATAATAGCTATGTTTGCATCAAATCATTATGTATTAGACTGTAAGCAATTTTCCTGGCCTCTGCTGTAGCAGACCTTCCTCAGAGATGCCCTTCAGGGAATCATTATCTCTGTAAAACGCCACAAGGGGGTTGAGTGCTTCCATCCTATGCCTCTTTAACCCACATCCATTATTCAGAGGGAGACTAGTGGAGTCAGAACTACAGGGAGACCAAGAGAAGCCAATGATGTCTCACTCTTACATCTACAGATGATTAGGGGATGTCCAGTAGCTGAGGATACTATGATTATTAACATTTTAGTCACCATTTTAGTGTCTGCTTGCTCATGACATCTCAGGCAATTGCAGGCATACATTTGCAGTAAAAAGAAAACTCGAGGAAGACAGTGTGTGCAAATGCTTGACTAACAGTGTTTTAGTTCTGTTTCCCTTGGTGACTGCCACTGTGTTTGTCACATTATTCTCTTAAGTTGCTCTCCATGTAATCATAATGGTAAGGCAATCTGTTGCATGTAACTGGATCCTGTTTTGAATGGAGAGAAATGAATGAAACATGTGACAAGGTGTGACTAGTTATCCACCAGTCTTGCTGGGTGTTTGTTGACAGATGGGTCTTTTGTCAGGGTAATTTGTTGAACAGAATAACCAGGTAGATAATTACCTGTTGCTTTTGTGTCTATTAGGGCCATTGTTGGGTTTAATACATCCTGAATATTCATTGCTCTTTGAGGCAACCAAAGGGGGTCATTGTATCTAGAGTAACTGACCTGAGGCAACATATTTTTCTCTCTGATTAGTAAAAGCTTGGTTTCTACTTGCGCACACCAGTGGCGCCCCATGAGTTATGTCAGAGGGGTGGTCAGAGGGGGCCACTGAAAATGTTGGGATGACACACCAAATACCAAAAGCCATAAATGAATTTCAGAAATTTGATCATGCTGTTGAAGTATATAGGCTAGTTGGCTATTTTAATATGGAGAGTTCAGGAATGACATACTGACACACTTCCATTTCTTATTTTACAGTCAGTATTCCTAATTATCTGATGTGAATACACTTATGCTGGTACAGTTAAAATTTTGAGTTTCACAACAATCCTGTTTTAATGTGTTATGTAACCGTATACATGTTAGGCAATTCATTGTTCTTCAAATAGGATGGTTGTCCTTCTCCTTAAGAAAAACAGATGTACAGCTTTAATTTGAAGGAGTACATTGATTGTAAGGAACAAAACATTTACTGGGGAAAAGCCCTCTTGAGTTAAGAGGAGACTTGTGGGCACCCATAGAACTCATTTTCATTCAGACCATCCTGAAAATGGCAGCCTAAAGCTGAAATGTTAATTCAACTCCTTCCCGACAATCTATGTTGACATGGTTGGTACCAATGGATTGGCTCGCCTTAAGCGGAGTTTGTACTTCTGTGTCGAATCAACACTGTACCCTACACCGTAGCCTGAGGTGCACCTTGCCAGAAATGTAACTATATATCGCGGCAATGCAGACCTCCTATCTTTTTTTGTGAGCTGAAACCATTTCCCCCAGTGGAAACGAAGCTTTTATTTACTTTTATTTCACAGATAAGAAACAATAAATTGTGAAGACAGTAAAGCCTCCACAAAATAGCATTTTAAAGCTTGTGTGTAAAATTTATCCTGGCTTCATATGAGTAAAGGGAAAGTCTGCTAGCGGCTAGGCTAATTTATACAATGTAAAACGTCATAGGCTTGTGCTAATAATGTTAGCATATTATATTTGTTTGGGAAAAGTGTTTAGTACAAGACAATTGTTTTGTCAGTGAACCTTGTGAGTTGTAATGGAGCTGAATTTTGTAACTTTACCATTGTTAAATGTCGCTGTTGTTTCTGGCTTCAAATGAGTAATGGAAAAGTCTGCTAGCTGCTAGGCTAATTTATACAATGTAAAATGCCATAGGCTTATGCTAAAAACCATTAGCATGTTGTATTTGTGGGGAAAATGTGTCCAGATAAAGACAAGTGTTTGTCTGTGAATGCTGCGAGTTATAGTGAAGCTGATTTGTGTACTTGTGTTTGAAATGGTCTCTATTAAGCCAACTAGTGTTTTGGAGGTGTAACTACAGAGTGACACAGACAAGTGTAAATGCTCACAATGGCGCAGACCACGTGTGTAGGCTCTGCAGCTGATGCACAAGCTTGAATCCTGCTTTAGGTTTTCTTGGGGGGGCTATGGCCTCCCCTTTGTGGCGCCCCTGGTTAACACCTCATTCAACAAATTAAAACGTTCTGACTGGTGGTGCATATGACATATAGTTACTCATAAAGCAACCCTAACTTCAGTTTAAATTTGACTTTTGGTGGAGTTGAACTTTGTATCACTTTATGTGTCAAACAAATGCCTAACTGATGTAATCCCAGTTTTTATAAGTGCATTTATAAAGATCATAGTCTGGTCCTGGCAGGCCTTTTTCCTAATACAGCTGCATATAGGCTCAGTTGCATCAGATTAGACCACTATTCATCCGGGATGCAAATAAACATGATAGGGTATTAAGAGGCTGGAGCGGAAAGGGGTGTGACTGGGGTGTTGTATTACATGTCAAACCACCTGGAGAGGAGACACTTAAGGAGCGCTGGCTCAGGGTGCCAGAGGCAGTACAGAGACGCCAACCACTCAGAGAAGACCACTGATTTCACTTGACTAACTGTATTGGACTTTAAGACTTTGTCACCCTCCAGGCGATGGACAGCAGGATCAGACCGCTCGGCCTGGCCGGGCACACCGCCTCCCCTCTCGGTGGCTTGCAGGTGCCGCCTTCCCTCTTGCGCCCTCCGCCTCTCTTCCTCCGGGCTTGCAACCCCGCGCTGGAGAGGGGATACCCCCGCACCCCGAAGTGCGCCCGGTGCAGGAACCACGGCGTGGTGTCAGCACTGAAAGGCCACAAACGCTTCTGTCGCTGGAGGGACTGCGTGTGCGCAAAGTGCACTCTGATCGCGGAGAGGCAGCGGGTGATGGCCGCGCAGGTGGCGCTGAGGAGGCAGCAGGCTCAGGAGGAGAGCGAGGCCCGGGAGCTCCGGCTCTTGTACCCCGGCTCGGGGATCGGTGGGGAGACAGGGATGCCCCAGGCGTCACCCGTAGGCCCCGGGGTGCCAGCAGCTGCCAGCAGCACTCCAACAGCTCCAAGTTTTGATGTTTTTGGAGCAGAGAACCAAAAAAATGGTGAGTTAAAAATAAAAAGTTTACTGTTTTCTTTCCAAATAGAAAATAATCCCATAATTAATTTATGTATCACCCCAAAATATAACAGCATATGCAATTTATTTTTAAAGACTGCGCTGTTTGGAGCATTTTACGCACACAGAAGCGCGCGCATGTGATTTTAAGCAACCTGTTTTTCTTTTGTCCCCATTCCAGATGACAAACTGAGCAAGTACAACTTTTATAACGGATACGTGGGTCGACCCCTGTTTGCACCCCACACCGCACGCCTGCCCTCTCCAAATGACAAGAAAGACCTGTCTCCAAACCAGGACACCACCGCTTCATTTAACGACGACAGCGCAAGTGCGTCTCCAGCGTTTGACCAGCGCTCAGACCACTTGGAGAGCCCACAGAGGTCACTTTCCTCCTCGGATCCAGACTCAGGCAGCGAGTCGGAGAAGCCCAGGGACTACCCGAGCCTGGAGCGGGACCCCACTGATATCATAGCCAAGATCTTCCCCCATCAGAAACGGGACACCCTGGAGTCTATGGTGAGAACATGCAAAGGCGACATCGTCAGAACCATTGAACTGGTGTTGAGCTCCAAAGAGAGCAAACTAGACTGTGATGGCTCGTCTCTCTCTAATCACTCCAACGCGCTCAGGCCTTCTGTTGGACTGCCTGGAGCGCTCGGTGCTCTGGGGAACAAGTCTGCCTTCTCCCCGCTCCACATGCCGCCGACGGCCGCCGGGGGAGACAGTCTGTACGGACTCAGCCCCCGCCTGGGTGTCAGCCCCCTGAGGCTGGCCTATTCCTCTGCCAGCGGCGGGATGGCAGGTTTCATGTCACCATACATGACATCCGGACTGATGCCAGTGTTCCCACTGCGTCCTCCCTTGGACTCATATCCCTTCCCGGGCATCCGAGACTTTTCTTACCTTCAGAGCAAGGAGTCTCTGTGCAGCACAGGTCTTTACTCCAGACTCAACAGTGAAAAATGACAATATAATAATTAAAAAATGTTATACTTAAGTGAACCTTATTGTAAATTGACTTTTGGATTTATCTTTAAATCGCATTTCAAGTGCCTCAGACCATGTGCTGATTGAAATCACTGCATTCTGACAATTTCTGTTTCAGACTTGTTTTTTTATAGTGTAAATGTTGTAACGGTTTTTAATATGAATAAAACTATCAACAGACACCCTTGTTTTATATGTGTTCATGATTTTGTGCCAATTTATTCCATCTATCTACTTTTTTCCAATAAAATGAGACAAAGTAAACATTCCTTATTATGAATTTTGTGTCTATAGACTCATAAAGTGTGCCTTTCTAAAATTGGATGGATTCTGTTTTACAGTGAATTTATCCCATGATAGGTACTATTTGTTTTGAGCCTATGCATATAGCCCACTAGGCCTACTTAAAATGTAAGTGAAATATATATAACGCCACACAATAATAAGGACGATAAGTACAAGAAATTAATGACATCACACAAAGTATATGTGCACGGCACATGTGTCCCTTTTTAAGTTTTGAGAAGAAAAGCAGGTGCTCACAGGTCAGGTACATATCCATCACCCATCTTCATATTTTCTTTAGGCTGTATTAAAGTGATGCATGCTACAAAGGAGAATAAAACCTGGAACCTCACAGTATTTAAGTGTTTCAATATAGGTCCAGTCAACAGTTTGAACTGAGATTTACATGTTATAATGTAGTTAATAAGTGGAATATTAATGGTCATTTAATGAGTGGATGTTGATGTTGTAGCTTGAATCTGCTCAAACCACTCTCCCAGTTTGGGGGTCACAGCCCTGAGTACTCCGAGTAACCACTGACACATGTTGCCTTTACTCCTCCTCTTTCAGCCCTTGGTATTTTTATATTTTTCATATATAAATATGTGTATAAATTGCAGTTCTGGTGGGCAACTACACACCATTGCCCAAAATTATCATGAGCAAATGTAATCATACTCATAAATAAGGGTAGCAAATTACCATTATTATACCGGGTCTAGCTACTACTGTGTGCTGCAGTTCTGCGTGTAGTTTGTCTAAGTGGTGTTGCCGTACCCCAGCAGAACATGGCTCACAGGCATATTCGACTGTCTTTATTACAGCCCACAAGAAGTATGTGTCAGTCATTCATGTTGCACTGCATGTGTCGTTTTGTAGACAGTAGTGAGTTTCATTCATTCCAAATATGTAGACCCCCCCCCCCAAAAAATTCTAGGTTTTACTCTTAATTGTGCTTAGCCATTGTTATATTAGCTCCTTGCTTGTGTGTAGGCTCCTAGTGCTGGCGACAGGCAATATTTGGTCACAATATGCATCACTAGTTGCCGGAAATGACCTTCGTACAAACTAAAAAAAACTTTAAATATATCCATTTCAAATCCCAGAGACATTTAACATATCAAAAGCTCACAAACTGCTCGTCTTTCCATTTTAAAAAACGTCGATAAAGTCTAAAATAAAAATCTGAACAAGTGTGTTTCTTCCTCTACATCAGGAACCCGTTCTCACTCATGATTGGTCGAAGGAGCTGCACGCGGCTCGAATGAAAACCAATAGAACGTCTCGGAGGCGTCACGAGACCGCATGTTTCAGGAAGTCGGGACATGGCCAGTTTAAATGTTGGATGCATATCATGAGTTTGAAACACCATTGAGCGGGTTTTCTTGTTAGGGAAGAGGGCGACAGTTTACAGTTCTGCCGTCTGACATGCGTCTCCACGTTGTTATCGCCGCTGTCTTTTGGTGTGGTTTCGTCGACTCGCGGAAAATTAGAGGGATATCTTCGTCCTGTAAGTTCACTGTCCCCTTCGAGCTAGCTTAAGGCTAAGTAGCTATCATCATATTTGTTAATTAAGCTGCATGGTGCAACGTGCAATGACTTTAACAGCTCATTATCTTCAACATAGACACCATGAAGCAAGTACTTAGGAGGGTGTCATCGCTGCAGGTAGTTTGTAACAGCTGTACACAGCAGTTAAAGTGTGCTCGGGGTTGTAGCTTTAATAACACACCTATAGCTTTTTAAATTTTTCCTGTAGCATTTCTCCACAGACTCTGGACTCCTTTAGCACCCAGCCTTTATCCTTAAATAAATGTCACAGGCACAACATGTTCCAAGTCCTCACCTTTGTTTGGTTACACTTCCAGTTGCAGTTCAAGGTCACCAACAAGCATCAGCCTGTAATGTTTTTATTCTGTGACAGACAAGCGGTTCTACAGGGAGAGGAAGTCCTTCCTGTGCATCGATGGGTCGAAGATCATCCCCTTTGAGCAGGTGAACGATGACTACTGTGACTGTGAAGACGGCTCTGATGAACCAGGTAAAAAGTGGACCCACGTGCGAGTGGGTGTGTGTTTACCGGTGTTAGCAAACTGTGAGTCAGCACTGTGACCTGGGCACTGTTAATAATTACTGTACACTGAATTTCTGTTCGAGAGAAAATAACATTGAACTGGACTTTTCAGACATGTTCTGATAACTAATGGGCTGGACTATCTATCACATAAACCCACACTGGCACCTTCTAAAACAGACCATATGCTATTCAGACTAGGCTATGAATTAATGTATTAAATTAATTTTATTCAGGTATCACGTCATCGTTATTCATCATCAACTTGTTACTGATTCACGTTCCTCTTTCTGAAAATCACCTTGTAGATCTGTTGCTCCATGTGGAATCAGGAGCCCTCTAAATTGCTGCTGACGTTGCACAATGAGGAGTTGTTGCAGTTGTCACAGAACACAAGAAATTTAAAGACAAAAACATTATTAAGTCGTCTGCTGAAGGGGTCTGTCAAAAGTCCCCAACTTGGAGATGACATGATCACACCTGAGGCAGGGAGGATAGTGCAAACACCCCTGCCTGGAAGGAACCGCCCCTCTCACGTGCAAGCACTTCACCTCAGGGTGCTTTCACACCTGTTTCTAATCTTGGTTGTGGTCCGGTTCTTGTTCACACTTACTTTTTACAAACAAACCAAGAGGAGTAAACATGAAGTTATGCAGATTGACAGGTAACATGCTGATCGGGTAGTTTTTGTGTCATCAGGACCCACATGGAGAAATCAAGTTCTGGTGACTGACAGAAGTTTACGCAGCGCTTTAATTTATCTGATGAGTAAATTTATCGTCTTTCTTATTTTTATTATTACTATTAGACTTATGAATACTGACTAACAGGTAGAGACAGGACGAACAGGACACGTCTCGTACAGTTGTGATTCAAAGCTCATTACTGTGGGATCACTGTCACACACTATAATGGACCTAATGTACTGACGTTGTACACAGACAAGTACAGCAGTTTTAACAGCTTTTGACATATTAATCAGGCAAAATACTCATGCTGTCGTGCACTCCTGTTGCCATGGTTTTCAAATGATTTGCATAAATACATAGCCTATACAATTCAGTTGTAAGATCGCTCCCTGAAATGAGTTCATGATCAGCAGATTTATTATAGTTAAGCTTTTGAAATCATGCTAAAATCGCATATCTGCTGTCATAAAATCCTGTGGTGGTTTGTTTACTTTCACACCACAAATGAACCGCACCAGAGTCCCAACTTTTTAAGCGATCTCGCTTCGGTTGTTTGGTTCACGCCAGGGTTCAACTGACAGCTTTCACACCATTCCAAATGAACCGTACTGACTGGGTAAAGAGACCTGATATGTTTAACCAAACCAAACAGTTGATGAGAGGCTATATTATGCTGCCTTCCTCCCTTTGTTCTTTCCTTTTGACCTCAGCCATGATGTGTGTGTGTGTGTCTTGTGATTGAATTTACTTACTTAATATTTGTTTTACTTTTTTTTAGTTTGATGTTCTCTCTTTGCAGAGATTAAACCACACACACAAAGCTTTATAAAGAAATCCACCAAGAAAATAAAATGACCTCTCAGTTTTGAACCTTGGACTCCTGCGTCATCTGCAGGTCCCTCAAATGCACTCAGCCCTCCTACTGGCCTTTACATTTAGATTCTAACTGGTCATTAAGTGACTAAACTTATGGAACTAATCCATACTCTGTTGTGTACACATATGCATGTTTTAAGGACTTGGTGAATGGATACACTTTGCAAGCCAACAAACAATCTATTGGACCATTTAAGGTCACAATCTGCCTCTGCTGTTGTTATGCTGTGCCGTACTGCAGCTGTAAATCCAAATCGAAATTGAGCATGTTGGTAATGTTATCTACCCTCATTGAGATTTTGGACTGATTGACCCCGTGTATTGGCAGCTGATGCAGCCAGTGTAGTAAAGTGTAGACACAGAAATATAGAGGTTAAAATTCCCCGGGCCTCAAGTTATGTGTTCAGTGTCCATGTAGTACTTTAAACCATACTTGAGTGTATAAGAATACATATTTTTCCTCTTACCTGTAGTGCTGTTTATCAGTCTAGATTGTTTTGGTGTGAGTTGCCAAGTGTTGGAGATATTGATCCCAGAGATGTCTGCCCTCTCTCCAGTATAATGGAACTAGATGGCACTCAGCTTGTGGAGCTAAAAGTGCCAAAAAATACATTTTGACATGGTTACTCAAGATAATCCACAGACCTTGTTGTGAGCAGTTTTATGTAGGAACTATTTTCTCTCTACCAAACCACACCTGCCAACTGTATCACTGCACAGAAGGAAGCGTGCATCTACTCATGTACGAGAGGCTTGTGTTGGTGATGGCGCAAAATGTCAATACTGTTGTCCTCCTCAGCTGAGTTGTAACATGAGCTAGCTCAGTGGTGCTAGGTGAGCTAGCAGTAGATGCACTCTTCCTCCTGCACAGTGATATGGTTTGCAGGTGTAGTTTGGTAGAAAGAAAATATTTCCTATATGAAACTGCCCACAACAAGGTCTGTGGATTATCTTGAGTAAACGGGTCATGATTTCTGGAAAGAGACATTACTGTTGAGGTTTTTTTTGCTGCTTTGAGCACCACAAGCTGAGTGCCATCTAGTTCCATTATATTGGAGAGAAGGCTGATATCGCTATGGCTGATATCTCCAACACTCTACAATTCACTTCAAAATAATCTGGATTGATGGATAGCACTACAGGTAAGAGGAAAAATATGTATTTTTTATTTTGAGGTGAACTGTCCCTTTAACGTTAAAACAGGATGCAATATAATGCAACCAGAAATTGCGAAACAATGGCCCTTT